ACAGGTTGAGATCCCAGGTAAATAGGAGAATCCCCTAACCTCTTGTTACTAGGCAGTAGGGGGCACCTCAGAAACTGGGGGGGAATGGAAGTAGGTCCCTGCTTGAGGAAGCAGGCAAATCCGCTCCTGACCTCCCCCATCTTCCCAGTTACCCTTGCAGAACAGGTATGGGGTCCTGCAGGAGCAACTGGCTGTTGAAGAGGTGGATAGGCAACCTGCTCCAGAGGTCTTACCTCAATCCTATAGGCCTTCCAGCAATATGACCACCTCTTCCACAAGGAAGAAGTGTTCTAGTTGTTGGTGACTCATTCCTGAAGGGAACACAGGGTCCAGTATGCAGAGTTGACCCTCATCATGGGTAAGCCTGCATTGTACCTTGAGCCTGGATCAGGGATATCACCAGGATACTTCCCTACCCTGCTGCACCTGACAGACTACTACCAACTGCTGATCTTCGAGACAGGTGGGGAGGAAGCTGTATCCCAAAGTCTGAGGGGAATGAAGGGAGACTTCAAGGCCTTGGAACAGCTGCTGAAAGAGCAACGTGGGATGGAATGGAAGAGTCCAGTTCATAAATGCCTGGCTACGAGGCAGGGCTTTGGGTTCTCCAATAATGGCTGGTTTTATAAGAAATCAGACCTGACAGTAATACATGGGAGAGGTTTATCTCACAGTGGCAAAAGGGTTCTGGGACAGGAATTAGCAGGGCTCATTCAGGGAGCTTTAAACTAGATCTGAAGGGGGATAGGGTTGTAGATAGACTTGCACTGGTGGGGCAGCACTCTAGAACTGATGAAGATCAGGAACCCTCCCACCCTCCTAGGCTGAAATCAGCATGCTCAGCTCACTCCCTGAAGTGCCTGTACACCAAAGCACACACCATGGGGAATAAACAGGAGGAGTTAGAAATCCATGTTCAGGCAGGAGATTGTGATCTGGTGACAATTACAGAGACATGGTGGGACAGCTCACAGGACTGGAATGTGGTCATGGATGGGTGTGTCCTTCTCAGGAAAGACAGGCCAGCAAGGAGAGGTGGTGAAGTTGCTCTTTATGTGGGAGAGCAACTAGAATGCATTGTGTGCTGTCCAGGGGCGGTTGAAAAGTGAATTAAGAGTTTGTGGGTGAGAATTAAGGGGCAGGCTGCCATGGGTGATACTGCAGTGGATGTCTATTACAGGCCACCAAATCAGGACGAGGAAGTTGATGAGGCCTTCTACAGGCAGCTGATAGCAGCCTTGCAATTACAGGCACTGGCTATCATGGAGGATTTTAATGACCCTAATATTTGCTGGAAGGCCTACACAGGCAGGAGTTTCCTCCAGCACACTGATGATAATTTCCTGATGCAAACTGGATGAGCCAACTAAGACAGGAGCACTGCTGGATCTTATTCTCACTAACAAGGAAAGTCTGGTTGAAGCAGTGAAGGTTGAGGGCAGCCTTAGTTGCAGCAACCGTCAGATGGAGGAGTTCAGGATCTCATGTGGCAGGAACAGAAACAAGCAGAATCACAGCCGTGGACTTCAGTAGGGCCAACTTTGGCCTTTTCAAGCAATTGGTAAGGGAAAACCAATGGAACAGGGTAATTGAAGGTAAAGGGGCCCATGTTAGTTGGGTAGAATTTAAGGTGTGCATCTTCCAAACTCAAGATCAGAACATCCCAGCAGCTAGGAAGTCAAGAAAGGGAGTCAGGAGACAGCAGCTATTAAAATGAAGACATGGTAAAAAGAAATACTCTTTTCAATACTTAGCCAGGATTCTGGCATTAAAAATAAATAATACAATTTCTTTTTAGCTTAGTTGTCTTTTCATTCTTCTCTTTGCTCCACTTAAAACTCTCTTATTCTCCTCCGCATCTCACTAGAAAAAGGAAAGTCGCATGTTGTGAATGAGTAATTTGTAATTTGTGCCTCAAACACAGCTTGAGAGGAAAAAAGAAAAACTGCTTCCTCCAGAGATCCCTCTGACAGAGGCAAGCTACAACTGGGACCGCAGCAACAGCAAAGGCAGGAATGCCGATACCTGTCTGTGGGCCCAAGCAGCCGGGAGAAGTTGTCAATTACGACCTCTTGGTGACAGCGGATGAGGATGACCACCGCCTGGCACAGGAAGGGCATAAATGTGCTCTGCTGCGTGGATGATGTGCAGCTGCGCAGGATGTGGAGGATTGGTAGCACCTGAAAGAGGAAGGGGAGAAAGAACGACTTGCTGCATCCTTGATTCTGCAGGGCCTGACCATGGACATTCGGCACACGAGCAGTGCCTGCTCCCTTGACATGCTGCCAAGGCCTAAGCCTAAATTTCACACCAGTCACCCTGTGAGTGCATTGATAGAAGCTT